AATTCGACTAGTATGTTCGAGTTGTTGTAAAGATCAGTTCGGCTCAATCGGCGTGCGTCACAGTACTCGTCGGGAGTACTTTTCGGATTAGTTTTGGAGTAGTTGAATTATTTTGCCAGGGCAGATCCCTCGTGGGGGCCAGAACATCTCAAACGCCAGTGAAGAAAGGGGATGTGTATATATATATATATATATACATCGGCGAGGGAGATGGAGAGCGGGTTAGATAGCGATGCCGGAAGAGACAGCACGCCACAGCAACCATGCATAATGCGAGATGGAGGGGGCCGAGAGAGGAGAGAGAGGGATAGAGGGAGAGGTAGATGGAAAGGGGGAGGTGAGACGAGAAAGAGAGAGAGAGAGAGAGAGAGAGAGAGAGAGAGAGAGAGAGAGAGAGAGAGAGAGAGAGAGAGAAAGAGAAAGAAGAGAGAGAGAGAGAGAGAGAAAGGAGAGAAAGAGAGAGAAAGAGAGAGAGAGAGAGAGAGAGAGACAGAGAGAGAGAGAGAGAGAGAGACAGAGAGAGAGAGAGAACGAGAGAGAGAGAGAGAGAGATCTCTACATATCTCTACATCTCTCTCTATATATATATATATATATATATATATATATATATATGTGACACATATACATATATACATATATACACGTAGCACGCCGTATATGCGGCGAAGAGTGAGGGGGCGGTGGGGACGTCGACAGCTTGCGAGGCTCTGGAGAAGCCCGCCGCAGGTACCAACGTTTTTCAATTTCTATAACGATCCCGCCGCAGGCGCCGCGGGTGGGTCGCGGGCGGGTCGATGTTGGGTCCCAGGCGGGTCGCGGGTGGGGCGCGGATGTAGAGGGTAGAACATCCACTCCATACTAATAATAATAATAATCTCCCCGACAAGCGAAACCGATACTAGTAAACGCAGACACGGAATGACTCGAACAAAGCAGGGCTGTTTAGTCATGGTCAATTGTCGGGTTCGAGTGGTTCTTCCTCCCTTGAGGGTGGGTCGCGGGGTGGGTCGTGGGTGGGTCACGGGGTGGGTTGCGGGTGGGTTTCGGATGGGTAGCGGATGTGTCGCGGGCTGGGTCGCGGGTGGGTCGCGGGGTGGGTCGCGGGTGGGTCGCGTGTGGGTCGCGGGGTGGGTCGCGGGGTGGGTCGCGGGTGGGTCGCGGGTTGGGTCGCGGGTGGGTCGCGGGTGGGTCGCGGGTGGGTCGCGGGTGGGTCGCGGGTGGGTCGCGGGTTGGGTCGCGGGTTGGGTCGCGGGGTGGGTCGCGGGTGGGTCGCGGGGTGGGTCGCGGGGTGGGTCGCGGGGTGGGTCGCGGGGTGGGTCGTTGGGTGGGTCGCGGGTGGGTCGCGGGTGGGACGACAACAAACAACACCACCAACAACAACACCAACAACACCACCAACAACACCAACAACAATCATTCTAATATTGTTCGCTTTTATTTGCCGTCGTGTCATTCAAAACGAGTCCCCCTACGCCCTCGATGCCGCCCCTTTTGGGGGATTTTTTCTTTTTGCGGGGGGCGGCGGGCTTAGACAGGCGGACCAACCTGAACGGGCGGACGATCCGTCGTGGGCGTACATGTGCCCGCCATTGGAATTGGTGCGGGCACCGCAAAAATATGAGGGGGATAGCGAGGGAGAGTGGGAGACCCGGGGAGGGGCGAAGGAAGAGGGAAAACGCCACGAGTGAAGGAGCGAATAGGGTGGGTAATTATAGGCAGAGGGGGAGAAAGAGAGAGAGAGATAACGACAGATAAAAGAGGTAGAGGGACAGAGAGGGAGAGAGAGAGAGGCCAGAGAGAGAACGAAAGAGGGAGAGAGGAGGCAGGAGAGGGGAGGGAAAAGGGAGGAGGGAGAGGAAGGAGAGGGGATAGGGCAGAGAGGCATAATGATGAGGGAATAGAGGAGGGATTTGTAAGGGAGGAGAGGAGGGAGGAGGGAGGAGGGAGGGGGAGGAGGAGCAGGAAGGTGAGAGCGTGAACGTTCGAGGAAGTCCTGAGCGAAAGCGACGACGGGCGGGCGATCCCTTGACGGGCAGGTCGGGCGGGTGGGAAATCCAATCGGAATGCAAAAGTACGGCGGGAGCGCGATTATCAATTACATTCTAGCGGCGTCCTTGGCTCAGCGTGTTTCCTGAGCGTCGAAAGCGCGATTTCTGAATACATTGCCTGGGGGTCGCAAGCGAGAGTGCAATCTTGAATAACATGAGAAGGGTTCTCTGGCGGGAGCGGGGGTCTTGGTTAAATTGCAAGGAAGTTTTGATTCAATTGCGAGGAAGTCTCAAGCGGGAGCGCCGCCCCTGACTAACTTGTCAGGAGGTCTCAGGTGGGCGCGGGGGTCCCGACGAATGTGCGAGGGCGTCGCCGGCGGGAGCACCGATCCTGAGTCAATGGTGAGGAAGTGCCTGGGGCGGGGGGCCAGAGCAAATTTGGAGGAAGTCTCGGGCGTGAGCCCTTGTTGTTGTTATCCGGCGGGCCAGGGGAACAGGTTGAACACCAGCGCGTTCCCTGTCAAAAAACAGGGTGCGAGCGTCGAGGGGCACACGTTGATTGAGAAAAAACAGCATGCACCGGTGAGGGGGCAACAGCGGCAACAACAACACCAACAGCAACAACGCAACAAACATAATTCTCTCCACGAGTTGTTTACTCATCCACGCACCCAGGGACAATGAATGACCGTTCGGCCCCCTCACTCCTGATATAATTATATATATATATACATATCTTGGACACAAAGAGAGAGAGAGAGAGAGAGAGAGAGAGAGAGAGAGAGAGAGAGAGAGAGAGAGCGAGAAAGAAACAATAAAGAAGAGATAGAGAGAGAGAGGGAGAGAGAGAAAGAGAGAAAGAGAGAAAGAGAGAGAGAGAGATGGAGCGAGAGAGAGAGAGAGAGAGCGAGAAAGAGAGAGAGAGAGAGAGAGCGGGATAAAGAGACGGAGCGGGCGGGGTATAGAGGTAGAGAAGGCGACGAGGGGGAGAACGAGAGAGCGAGAGAGAGAGGACGATGGAGAGAAAACGGGCGAAAAGAAATACAGCGAAGAATCAGGGAAACAGCACAGGACGAAGCGGTGAGGATTACAAGCACCGGATGGATCAGAGAGGACGATTCGGAGATACGTGCGAAGAGGAAGTAGATATGGTGGAAGTCAGAAGCGCAGAAGCTGAGGAAGGACACCGAGGAGAACACCATCATGTGGTCTATAACGGAGCAGAGGACGATAGCAGAGGTGCGCAAGGGGTGGATACGACCAGGGATTGAATGGGTGCAAGGGGCACACAAACGATGACAGTAGGATTAGTAGCATGAGTAAGAGTAGGGGCAGTGAGAACGGAGAGTGAACTAGACGCGAACAACGGGAATCACCGTTGGGAAATGAACGGGTGCTAGGGGGGGCTGCGCATATGACCCCCCCAGCACCCATGCATCGCCTTCCTTCTATAGGAATGTACGTCCATACTTTGATGTATTTGGTGACGGTATAACAGTATACGCGTACATGGACACGTGTATTGTGAGCGGTGCATTGATGATGGTGATGTTGATGATGATGCTGAGGATGAGGAAGGATGCGTGCACGGATGTATACAAATGCGTGTTGGGTTTGTGATATGATGTTCCGTGCGTCGGGTAATGTAGGTGTAGCCGTTGGTGTCGCATGCACGGGCAAGACGCCGACCAGGCTTTATGGCGAGCAAGCAGCTGATCCTTGCATGATGCGTGTAAACGAGATGAATGGCATGGTTACCGAATAACCTATGTGATGCCCCCCTGAAGGCCCAAGCGTTTGTGAGGAACCGCAGGACGGCAGTCACTATCCATAGACGTCAATAGTATCTTTTGTTTCGAATGCCTTGGTGGCACATGCAGGTCGGTTTCTGCCCCGTTGCAGAACACTGGTACGGAGCGCATTCGCCGAAGAGACAGATCATGTTGGTCCTGGAGGTTGGGTTGCTACCTCGCGTCCCAAGGATGGCGGCGGTCCCGATGCGTTCGCGCCCGTGGTGATTCGATCCGTTGCCGTACATCTTGCGTGCATGGCGAATCCTTCGTGCCGAAATCGGCTTCCACGCTGCTGCGGGGCATTCGTACCGCATCGCTTCTGGTACGAAGTATGTCCGATTGCGTTGCAGATATTCGTTATCGTGCAACCGCATGCGTGTGACGTTAGTGTCCGTAAGTGCAGCGCGTATGCTGTGCAGCTGCGGGGTATGATGGCACGCGCCCTGCTTGATTCATATGGTTGAAATCGCGCAGCTATTGAAGTGTTGGGTGATAATGCGCTGGGCCGCGTGCTACTCCAGTCTAAGTTCTTCGCGTTCTTGTTATCTCGAGGGATGGACTTACATTTTTCCCTGCGAGTTGGCCTTGAATTGTTTGTGTGAGTGCGTGTGATGGTTGCACATTCATGCGCGTCCCCCGCACCAGAGCAAAGCAGACTGCCACCGTGGCCCTCATCATGTTTCCAACTGTGCACATTTTTGGGTGTCAAATCGAATCGCCCAGCTGCTCACGCGTTGCTTGTCAATCGTTGAGCGCGTGGCCTCACGAGCATCCGGTTTGAGCTGAGCAGGTGACTTTCGTTTGACACATTATTGTCGAGGACACCCCACACCCTGATCGTATAACATGTGGTGGGTATTATATTTTCCCCGCTGGGGTATCATACTAGCAGTGGGTAGCACGTTTCACTCCCCGTTCGCAGCGTGATGTTAACCTTCCGTTTGGGCGTTGTGAGCCCACACGGTGAGGAAGGGCGAGGACGGTTCTGCGGCAGTTGTTGTTTTGGGCGGTCGTGGTCAGATTGTGCCACTGGTCAGGCCTAATTGCACCTGCAAGCGTCCAGCGCGTGTCCGATGTTGGGGGGCGAGCAGCACAAAACATTCCTCTGGAGGACGCGCTGCCGGAGTTCTACCAGGCCCTGGACGATTTGCTGAAGCCCTATCGGCGGGAGGGCGACCTGGAAGCAAAGCTGGCCGTTGAACAGATCCGGGATGCCATGGAGGCGGCGGAAGCCGCCGCTCAGCAGGCGCGGGGGGGGCCAAATGGATAGCCGCCAGCCGTCAAGTCCTCTTCGCCCTTACGGGAACGCGTCGGAGATGGAAGCGGGCACGGTTTCTTTCCTCCTTCCCCCTCCTTCCATCCCCGTCCTCCTCCCCTGTCGTCCTCCCCCTCCTCCATCCCCCTCCTTCCATCCCCGTCCATCCGCTTGTCGTCCATCCTCCTCGAGTCCCGCCCCGCTTCCGCTTGCCTTTTCGAGAAGGGAATGGAAGTGGAGGCGGGATTTGGATGAAGAGGATGAGCTGGAGGAGGAGGAGGAGCGGAGGGAGAACACGGGTCAGCAGAGGCGTGATGGCGATTTCGAGGGAAGGAGGAGGAGAACGAGAGAGGAACAAGGGAAGCAAGAGAGAGGGGGGTAATCTTTGGGGGGAGGAGAGAGATGAGGGATGGGTCTGAGACGGAGGAGGGGTCGAGGCATGAAGCGAGCGGAAGAGGAAGGGTGATAGGCGGGGTGCAGGGAAGGAAGGAGAAAGATGGATGAGGGGGGGGGAGGGACGCAGTGAGGACACAGTACATCCGGCAGAGGGAGGATCCCCGGGGCGCAGCGGGGATCCCCGGAGGCCGCGGAGGCGGCGGCAGCGGCGGAGGCGGCTGCGGGGGCAGCTGCGGAGGAGGAGGAGGCCCCCTCCAGCGGCCTGCCCGCGGGTGCGGAGGAGGAGGAGGCCGGCGGCCCTCCTGCGGCTTGCGCTGCTGTTGCAAGGGGGAGGAAATAGAGAATGAGGAGGAGAAGCAGGGAAGAGGGAGAGGAGGGGGAGGAGGAAAGAGGGGGGGAGGAGGAGGAGGAGGGGGAGGAGGAGGAGGAGGAGGAGGAGGAGGAGGAGGAGGAGCACAGGGCGAGGCGCAGTCCGGCCCCCAGGCACGCTCTTGCTCTGCACCCTCTTGTGACCAGGAGGGGGAAAAACACACAGACACAATTCATCGTCGATCCCTAGAACATATGTGAAAATATGGGAAGTGGTGGGGAAGACAAAATCAGAGAACATATGGGAAGATCATTATGGGGTATTATTTTATTTGTGTGTATTTATTTGTGTGTCCCAGGGCCCCTTCTTGTGAGTCAGAGCCCTGCTCTCACTTCCGAAGGGAGGAACTCTCCAAGTGGGCTTGCCTGTAGGAGCCCCAGCTCGAGTCCCAACTTAGCCGGCCACCCCCGATCTGGCCAACATGCGCGTCTTTTGTCGCGCACGGCTTCCTCAACTGTCCGTATGGCTTTCTGTTTTGCCCTTACACGCGTCCTCTGTGACGCATGGCTTCCTCTGCTGTCCAGATGACTTGTACTTCTAGCGTCCTCTGTTGCGCATGGTTTCCTCTGCTATTCGCACGGCTTCCTCTGCATCCGCATGATTTACTCTGTGTCCGCATGGCTTCGTTTGCTATTCCAATGGTTTGCTGTGGCTGTTCCGATAGGTTCCCAACATCGTCGTCCAACGATCGTCAAACTCAGAAGCAGGCTTAGGTAGAGAAACGTAGAGTAGAGCAAATCAGCGTGGAGTAGAGAAGAGCCGAGGAGTAAAGTAGAGCAGAGCAGAGAACAGTAGACCACTGTCGAGTGGAGTTGAGCAGAGGATAGTAGATAGTAGAGTAGAGCAACGTCGAAGTAGAGTAGTCAAGGAGCATACATGAGCCAGCCAGATTATGGTAGGGTAGTTCATGGTAGAGCAGGGCCACGCAAAGTAGAGTAGAGTAGAGTAGATGGTAGAGTATGGTAGAGTATAGTAGAGTCGAGAAGTGTAGACTAGAGAAGAGCAGAACAGAGTATAGCAGAATCGAGTGGAGTTTAGGATAGCCAGTTGAGACGAGTCAAATCGAGATCATAGTCGGAGTAGATTGGTGTAGGCGTTTAGTAGGAGAATAGTTTGGTTGAGTAGGGTAGGGTAGTGTAGATGGTAGTCAGGGTCGGGAATACCATGTCGTAGTACAGTAGACTAGAACAGAGCAGGGTAGGGGTGACTAGAGTACAGGCGAGTCCATCAGAGTAGGGTAGGGTAGGGTAGGGTCCAGTAGGAACGATAAGAGTAGAGTATGATCTAGTAGTATAGAGTAAAGAAGTTTAGAGTAGGCTTTCAGTGTACAAGAGCCGAATAGCGGTAGCGCAGTGTCGAGTAGTGTAGGGCAGGGTGGGGCCGACGAATCGCAGGGTAGGGTAGAGTATATTCGAGTAGAGGAGAGTCTGATAGATGGTCGAGCAGAGTCGGGTAGATTAGAGCAGAGTAGAGTAGAGTGCGGGCGAGTCCACTTCAGTCCAGTGCAGTCTACTCCAGTCCAGTCTACTCCAGTCCAGTCTACTTCAGTCCACGCTAGTCCGCGCCATTTCAGCATTCTCATGTTTTTGGGGTCTGGGCTGACAGGTACGATTCGGCGATGCGTGCCCGGGAATGCGTCCCCGGGTCCCCTCACTGGCGCCTTCCGAGCCATCCTCGGCTGTCGCGGCTCTCGCCTGCGTGCCAGGTCTGGTGCTTCGGGGGTAGACAGACCTCCTACCTTGACACGTCGATTGAGGAATTGGCCGTTTTCGGTTCGCGAGAGGGCGCAGCGGCCGTCATCTTTGCGGGCCCAGGTCCGTCGGTTTCGGTCCCAGGCCGATTTCACTAAGGGGAGGACTACTAAAGGGAGGTTTGTCCAGCGCCGAGCACTTGCTCTCGTGGAGGTCCGTTATGTTTTTGCTGTTCCTGCCAGCTCGCGCTCTCCCTCCCCAGCGGAAGGAGGAGGAGGCGGGCAGAGTCCACTTTGGGGCTGCCCTGCGTCTCCCAGACTTTTTTGGTGTAGTACTATGTCGGGCGTGTCCCCCTACAGGAGGACTATCGACGAGAAATCAAAAATACCCCACAAATACCCCAAGAAGGTCAACAAATACGAAACAAATTATCCCCCGACTATTTCTTGATTATTATTTGACTATTTTTCGTGTACTTTTAATTTTTCGTCGAAAATCCCCCTGCAGGAGGACAGGCCCGACATAAGTGTAGTACCCCCTGAAGTTTCTCTGTTTGGATGTCCAATTGGCTGCTACACCAGCAGGTCAGACGATGAGACTCCCCAGAGGGCGTGTAAGGAGTGGGTGCGTGTGCCCTATCGTCTGAGTTGAGCATATGATTTGTCCTGGCGATTCTCGTGGTCGAGCTCCTTCAAAAGCATTCGGTGATGGGGCCATGGAGTTATATGAGTCAACTGGTTCCAGCAGGCACTGCGGCCAGTATCCGACTAATGGACGGTATATCGAAGCCTGCGCTTCAACCATGTATTGTACACATGTCGCGCAGCATGTTGAGCAGCATAAAAAACTTCGCAGGACATCTCATCCCGTGTCTGCCTCTGACGCATGTTGAGCCCTTTCACCAGAGAAGAACTCAGGGCGACTACGCGTCCTAAGGCAGGACTTCATTCTCCCTCCCCGACTCCTCCGCCCCCCTCCTCCGCCGCCCCCTCCTCCGGCTCTCGGTTTGATCTCCAGCCGCACGCGCGGGTGTCTGGCAAGGGACGTATCCGTGCCATCGTGTATGCTTCGGATTACGCCTCGCAGTCCAGATTGCGAGGGCATGGAAGTGAGTCTGTTCGTCGCCCGTGACCGTCACAGCCCCCGTGTTTGAAACGAGGTGTCCGGTATGCCCTCCCCCTTGCCATCGGATGGGTGTGGTGTGCGTCAGCAGTGCGGCGCGTGGCGGCGGGCGGTGGGTTTCTCTTGGCGTCCTGCATCGCGTGGCGTGTTTCGTTGCACGCATCCTGCGGGGTCCTCCTCCTCCTCCTCCTCCTCCTCCTCCTCCTCCTCCTCCTCCTCCTCCTCCTCCTCCTCCTCCTGCATCGTGATTCTGATTCGGATGAGGCCGGCGCCGCGGCCGAGACGGCCCCGCTGCTGGAGGGCCGCTCGTCGCTGGCCAGTCAGGCACGGGCGAGGGGCCGTCCGGCCAGAACGTGCTCGCGCAATCTGCGTCGATGATCCTCGCGAGGTGCGTTGGCCCAAGCGTGTATGTTACCCCGTTCGGCTCCGCCGATGGCGAGCAGTCCGTGTCGACCCTCGTCGAACCGCCTGCATCGTATTGAAGGGCCTCGGTGGACAGACACACGTTGGTGCTAACACGCGTTCTGAGGATCATCGACTCTGTCCACTCACCGTGTCTCGCCGTGGAGGGAAGAGGTCCCGAGGGAAGCGGGGGGCTGGCCTCGTCTTCCGTGCTCGGCCTCGCGTGCCACCTCTGGGGTCCAGCAGAGAGCGACCGAGGGTGAGGCGCCTGTTCTTTGGGAAGCCCCCCTCGGGCCCGGAGTCCATTTCCCTCGGGGCCCTTTCTGTGCACGGCAAGCCAGCAACTGAGCAGTTTGAGAGGGCGGGGAAGGGGGAGCAGGAACGGTGCGTTGCGGGGATGGGGCGAGACGATGAAGGGAGCGCGAGAGTGATGGAAGAGGAGGCGTGGGGAGGGGGAGGGGCAGGGGCGAAGGAAGGCGGGGAGATTCAGAAAGTGGAGCAGCAGGGCGAGAGGGGTATAGGAGAAGGTGATGGGGGGGTGAGCCTCCTCCTCCTCCTCCTCCTCCTCCTGAGTGAGTCAGTGAGTGAGTGAGTGAGTGAGTGAGTGAGTGAGTGAGGAAGGGGGGGCGCGGGGCTGAAGGGGATCGGGGAGACGGGAGAGATGCCCGGGGCACCTGCAATGCGTCTGCGTCCCCCGCCCTTCCCTTTTGATTGTGCCGGTCCTTTCCACGCAACAGGCCGTGTGTAGAGTCTGATCACAGTCCGGTCGGGCGGCTCTGCGCAACTGGCGAGGTCGGCTTGACGGGGTCCAGAATCGCGCGGGAGGCCCGGACGCGTCTCTCGCACGGGGCTAGGACCAGGATGAATCCGTTCCAGAGCGTTCCAGAACGCTCTCAGAGCGTCCTGAAACGTTCTGAGGGGGCCGCGGCGCCCGAGACATCCTCCAGAGCCGCCGGATCTCAGAGATTCTTGGTTTATCCTCACCCGATGTTGTGCTCGTCCTTGCTTCGTCTCAGTCTCGGTGGACTTCGGGCCCGTGGGGGGCGTGTGTCGCTGCAGGTAGTGCGCCGCATGCCATCTTCTCCCTGCTTTACGCGCCTGCAGTCCTGAGCGCTCTGCGCCTTCTCCTGCGCTTCCTTGCCGCCGCTAGTCTTCGTAGTTGTTTGCAGTAGGACGGAGGTGTAAGATCGGTGTCGGTTCGGGAAGGGTGCCCTTGTGTTCTTCGTGTCTGCTGCGTGTTCTTGGGTATCCTGGGGAGGGTACCCCTGGATATTCTGTTTGTTTTGGCCGACGGAGGATCTCGTATTCTTCAGGGATGTTCTTCTGGCCCAGGTCCGACCGTAAAGTCCACGTATGTTGGGCATCAATGATCCAGCTGCCTGCGTCGAACCCTGCCATAGCGCCAGCGAAGCAGCGTAGTTGGAAGTATGTGTTGTTCAAGACCCGTTCCAGTTCAGCGTCCTGTCTCTTTACCTACTCGTTGTATGTCTCTTGGAGCCTTTCTGAGGCCTGAGCGCATTTATATAGGAACCTGTGGGGCTCATTGGCCGTCCATGCACGATCTTGGGGCGTCTTGCAGCCGTCTTGGGCGGCAGTTTTGTTTGCCGTCGTGAGGCCGATGTGGGCGCTGGGCAGCAGCATCACAAGATAGCTCGCTACTTGGGCCCCACTGCCAGCCCAAACGGCGAGAATCAACAGTTCGTAACCCGTTGTAGAACTTCTGTCAGGGCCGTCAGTCTAGACCAAACACAAGAACACTGACGTGAGCATTACGTCAAGAAGCTGAGGCCGTGCCAACACCGCATGATGTAAACTGCGCATTGCGCCATGGGACGACTCACAACTGCCTTGGGCTGTGCTCTAGGTTGTGCCATCCATGAGTTGCGCCACGGGTTGCGCCATTCACGGGTCGCGCTGGTGATTTGGTCAGATGGAGCCGTGCCATTGGTTGTGAGATCCATGGGTTGCGCTATCCACGGGGTGTGCCATTCGTTTCGCTATGGGCTGCGCCGTATGTTGTGCCCTCAATGACCGACATATACCATCTGCTTGCAAACAGGCACGGCCGAAAGTTCTTGGTCTTGCTAACGGATCTGCCTTAGGTTGCATATTCGTAGGGCGAACAGTTTATGTTCTTCCCGTCAGACATTCTCCCGCTTCCCCCCACATATTCACACCCATTCAGTCTCGGTCACGTTCGGACTCGCTCATTCAGTTAAGTTTCATTCAGGCAATATTCAAACTCGCTCCCACCCGGACTACCTCATTGGAGGACTCACTCGAGTTCATTTCCAGGCCACTCTTCAGATTCACTCATGCTCATACACACTCACACCTTGACTCACTAGTACCCATACCTAGGCACATTCAGAACTTTCGTTCTAACTCGCGCTGGGCGTCGCTCATACTCCGACCACTCATACCCGTACTCCCCAGTACTACGTTTTTTTTCCCACGCTTTGGGTCATTCGTAACCGGCTCTGCCCATTCGGAGCCTCACTCTTTTCCAGACGCGCCGCGATGTAATAAGCAATGTATTTTGGCCTCGAATGTGGGAGCCGCCATAGGATCCAGGTACCGGGGACCCCTTAGGCGAAACGCCCGTTCTGGGACTCACACGTGAGTCTTCTCACAGAGCTGCGATTTTGCAGGCATGCCATCTTGGCCGTCCAGCGGGGGAGCAGCATATTGATAACGACATGGGCCAGTTAACAGTTTGCACCTACAGTGGAGACCGATGCCAAGAAATACCCTGCTTGCCTCCAGAGTGCCCTGGATTTCTTGGGTTTCTGTGGTTTTGCAATGGAAAGCGTGACTTTCGCACACCAAAAAACGATGGACGTCCTGGGGTCTCAGGGTCGGGTTTCTTGTGGTCGGGCCCCCACTGTATTGCGTGTGCACCTCTCGAGTGGAATGCCCTCTCTGGCACGTGTCCGTGCTTCTGGTCATCGCGTCACGACCACGGCGATGCAGCCGGCACGGCCGTCTCCGGGCCTCCCAAGAGGGGAGCCGCAGCGGCGAGACGACACGGGCCCAATCCCGCCTAGAGCCACCAAGCGCGCTCCCATTACTCGCAAAGTGCCTGCTCGCAAACGTTCGAACAACAAACGTGTCCTTCGATGCGGTGGATCTTGCATCCTCCGCGTCGGATCCAGGCTTTTTGCGAGTAGTTACTTTTACGAGTACTGTAATGCGCTTGTTTATCGAGTGCGCGGGCATCTCAGGCGAAACGCCCGTTTTGGGAAGCGAGAGCGCCTCGGAGGAGGAAGAGGTACACTTGCTGCTACCCTTGTTCCGCTTCCTCCTCTTTGGACCTCCTGGGAGGCCCTCGTCGCCATCGGAATTCTGGTCAGGACGCACCCCGGGAGATGTCTGGGGACTAGCAGTATCGGTACTTTTCGGTTTCCCCAGTTTTGGACAGTGAGCGCGTCTCTTCTGATAACACGCTGACCGCGGCGGTGTAGGGTGTAGCAGGCGTGGCTTTTGGGCACCGCGACCTGGAGCGGCTGGGGAGTATGCACGGACCCGCGTGCGCCCAGACTGCAGGGATCTTCGAGGCGAGCCCCCCGTTCTCGGGAAGTACGTCAACGCGTCTCATCTCGCAGCCCCACTGCCACCGCGATGTATCAGGCATTGCACTGGGGCTTCCCGGGAGGGAGCCGCCAGGGGGAATGGCACGGGCACGGCCTCGCCCAGATTGTCGGGATTTCTCATCCGCCCTGATTGCAGGCACTCTCTCAATCATGATCACGGGCAGCCAGGCCCATTCACGCACAACACGCACACATTCAGAACAGACTCCTTCTGTTCCATGCCCATTCATACCTATGCCCCATGCTATTGAGAGGTGCAACCCAGCCGCCCACATTCAGACCCAGACCGGTCCTGTGCATCCGTTGGTCGGTATTCGTCCAAATATGTTTATTATGCCTTCATGTCTTACGTCTACACATATCAAACTGCCAATGGCGAACCCCGCCACCGTGCCTGAGCAACAGCGCTGCACGACGGAGACTGAGTCTAGCAGCACCGCAATTCCGACAAGTGGTATGACAAGGACGGGCCGTGAACTCGATCTCGTCTTCGTCCGCGCGGTAGGAGGTAGGTCGAGTTCACCCTCTGCGGCAGTTCAGAGAGTAGACTGAATTGGGAAGCGTCGTGATACCAACATCGTCTTCGGCCTCGCGGTGGGGAGGAGGAAGAGCAGGACGAGGAGGAGGATGAGGAAGAGGAGGATGAAGAGGAGGAGCATCCCCTCGGCTCCGGGGCTTGCTCGCCGCTGAGCGGCGTGCTTGTCCTGGTGTTGGGGGGTTGCGCCGGCTCCCGATCAATGTGCTTCCGGCGCGCGGCAGACATGCGGCCGCTGCAGGAGGAGGAGGAGGAGGAGGAAGAAGAGGAGGAGGAGGAGGAAGAAGAGGAGGAGGAGGAGGAGGAGGAGGAGGGGGGCGAGGTTGAGAGGGAGGGGGAGGGGGACAGCTTCTTGGGGCTCTCTTGAGGCCTCCTAGGGGCCTCCTCTGAGCTTTCCTGTGGGCCTCTTAGGTGCCTCTTGGGGCCTCTTGGGCTGTCTTAGGGAGGCGATTTGCCCGCCAGACGCATTTGGAGGCCGTCTTGGAGGCCTCTCTGGGCCGTTTTGGCGCCCTCTTGGAGCGCGTTAGGGCCGTCTTGAGGTCCTCTTGGGAGCCTCGTGGGCGATCTTGGAGTCCTCTTGGCCCGACTCGGGGCCTTCTTGGCGGCCTCATGGGCTGTCTTGGAGCTATTTTGGAAGCCCCTTGGGCTGTATTGGGCGGTCGGAGACAGAAAAAGGCCAACACCTCATTACTTTCAAGGCACCTAAGGACAATCAATGCTGTTGGCCTCCTCGGGCTCTCATGGGGGGCCTCAGGGAGCGCTGTAGGGCCGTCTTGGGGGCTTCCTGGGCCGTCTCGCGGCCGTCTTCCGAGCCTCTTGCGCCGTCTTGCGTGTTGGTGGCGTCTTGGTTGTCTGAGAAGCCGTCCTGGAGGTCATCTTGACCGCTTGGGCCCAAGACGGCAGCCGGAAAGGAATTAGAATCGGGACGGCTTTCGGACAACGCGTGCGGTCCAGGGTGGTGTAGAACACCTTAAAGACCCCCAAGACACGAGACAAGTATTCTACCACGCCCACTCCGTGCAGGCACGTTGGCGGATGGTTTGTTGTGACTCGCATTTAGTTTGGACGGCGCTTGTGCTCGCGTGTCTAACATACGCCAAGGGTAGTTTCACTTCGAACCTGCCCCCCTTCCCACTGCTCAGCGTCCTCATCGGTTCTCCCGAGTGCCCTCCATTTCTTCGACAGTGCCTGCCGCGCGACCTGGCCCCCCGTTTCCTGGGGCACCCCCGATCTCGCCCTTCCCGGCCTCCCTCCTTCACGGCTCCCGTCCCTGCGGGCAGGGGAGCTTCCGTTAATGGCGTCTGCGCAGTGAGCGCCGCCCTGTCCTGTAAGGGCAGTTCTGAAGGGCAAGCTTTGTGGTGCAAATTATGTGGTACAATTCTCCTTGCCGAATTTGCAGTTGTTGATTCCACAACTCGCGCAAACATCCAACCCACCCACCCTCAACTTGTTTTGCAAAACCCATTCGGAAGCGATTGGGATGAGTGCTTGGCGTTGGCTGGTGTAACTCTGCGGCCGCACTGTTTCGTGCATGCTCGCATGCGCAACGGCCAGCTAGTTGGGCGCGACCGGCGCGAACGCGGTGGCGCTGACCGCTCGGCACATCCCAGAGGGCAGTTCAGTGCGAGTCGGCGACTTGGGTGGGCGCGGTATCATGGCAACGTGGTAGACGCCATGATGATAGTAGCGATGCTGTTGACGATGCTTGCAGCGACGGGGCAGCCAGTGACGGCGCCGATGTTGACAACGCCGACCACGGTGACGGCTTCCTCGCGTCGGTGATGAAAGTTTTGCAAGGAGATCGGCACGCGCGAGCGGCAGTCGCGCGGGGGTGGCCAGCATGGTTTTTGGGATGCGGATCGTGCCCTCCCAGCACGTGCGAGAGGGCTATTTTTTGACATTCGATTGTGGAATCGTTGCGAAGCCATTTCGAAGGATTTGGACATGCGATCGCGACGACGCGCGCGTGTGCATTTCGTGCGTTGTTTTGTTTTTGTTGCAAGGGGTTCTTGAACATGGCTGACTTGTGATAACCGAGTGCGCGCGCTAGTGCGCGCGCATAGTGTTTTTTGCAAAAGGATGGTGGGGGTGCGGTACCGGTTGGGCTGGGATGGTATGAGTTCACATTTCGGATGGGCGATGGTGCATAGTCCTACGCACGTTGCAATAAGAAAAGGGGTTATGATAATCCTGGGGGGTTGGAGTCTATCATTTTCTCGTTATACAAAATAGCTGACGTGGTGCCATCTATGCTGTGTAATGTACTAATGTATGTAGAGCTGTACGTGTGTTGCGATGTGTGATGTGCAGCGTATGCGGTGGCGCAACACCTATGTCACAATGGATGTCGATCAACTTGCGTGCTGCAATTTATGTGGCGTTGTGCAATGTATGTGGTGCAATCTTCGTGGTGCTCAAGCTACGTGGTGAAACGTATGTGAAACAATGGCTGTTGTGCAATGTAGGTGTTGGCGTCAATTTTGGTGGTACAATCCATATGATGCACTCGATATGGGCAGTTGCCAACGCCATTGTCCACGCAATCGTCCTACTCACCCACCCGCAACTTGTTGTGCAAAACAGCAGCGGCGGCGAGTGCGTTGCGTGCGTGGTGTTGGCTGGTGCATCCTTGCGGCCGCGCCAGCCCGCGCATGCTCGCGCGTGCAGCGGCCAGCTAGCTTGGCGCGATCGATGTTGTCTCGGTGGCGTTGACCTTTTTTTTGTAATTTCCAATTGGCACCTCAGACCGGGTCGGCCACTTGGGCGGGCGGGGTACCATGGCAACGTCGACAACGGTAGACACCATGATGATAATAGTTACGCCGGCGGCGATGATGACAACGGGGACGGCGCGGCCACTGACGGCGCCGACGATGATCACGCCGACGACGATGACTGTGTCATCGCGTCGGTGATGTAGTTTTCTGAGAGAGTTGAACTTGCGCGCGGCCGACGCGCGAGAGGGACCCGCATGGTATTTTTCATACGGATCGTACCCTCCCAGCACGCGCGCAAAGAGCGTTCGAATGATGTCGGCATGCATCGCAAGCAGGCCCGTTTGTGTGAATTTACGAATTTGGGGGGCAACATTGTGGTTTCTTGGGGAACCTGCGAGAGCGTGATCACAGTTTTTTGCTTGAGAATTGGAGTTGCCAGTTCTTGATGTTTCGCGTAACTCCTCCAACCCATCCAGAAACGGTGCCCAGAGGAATTGCTTCGATCAGGGAAACGAGCAGCGCACAAAGGAAGGGCCCCCCCGCGGATGCCGCGTCTTGGAGGCCTCTTGGCGGTCCCCGGGGGTGCCTCTTAGAGCGCCTTGGGTGCCTCGGAGAGCTTCTTGGAGCCTCTTGGGGGTCTTTTGGGAGCATATGGCGGGCCACCTGGGGCGTCCTGGGCGCCTCTTGCGGTCCACTTGGAGCGCTCTCGGTGGCCTTGGGAGCGGTTTTGGGACCCTCTTGGTCCATCTTGGAGCCATCTTGAGGCCTCGGATGGACATCGGAAGCGAAACGGCGAGAAAGCCACAGACATTGATTGTCCTAAGGTTCTGAAAGGATTTTGGCCTCTTCGGGGCCTCCTGGGGGAGCTCTTTGGCCACTTGGAGCCGTCTTGGAACGGTCTTGGGGCCTTTTGGAGCATCGCGGGAGCCATCTTAAGGCGTCTTGGGATATCCTGAGCCATCTTGGAGGTCATCTTGGGCTCTCCCAGGCGCTCTTGCAGTCATCTTAAGCAGGGCCCCCCCCAAGGAGGCCAACATGTGGCCAAAACCTTAGTATCATCAATGATTTTGGCATTCCCGCCGAGGCCTCTTGGAGCGTTTTGGGTGCCTCTGGGGGGCCTCTTGGGGGTCTCTTGAGGGCCTCTTCGGGGCATCCTGGGGGCCTCTTGGGGGCCTCTTGGGCCCTCCTGGCCACCTCTTGGGGCACGCTTGGGAGCCTTGGGAGCGCTCGTGGGGCCATCTCGGAGGCGATCGATCAAAGAAGGGGGGTTCTGAATTAGCGTTGCCCCCCCCCAAGAGGCCAAACATGGGGCCAAAACCGTAGTAAATCTAATGATTTTGACTTCCTCGCCGAGGCCGTTTAGGACGCTCCGACCGCTCGCGGAACGCCCCGTCCAGGTCCAGGAGAGGGGGTAGGGGAATGGGTAAGCCTCTCCCCGAAGGGGAAGAAGGGGGTGGAAGAGGAAACACCCTAAACCACCTACGCCCTAAAGGGCTGGTGGGATTCGTGTATTTCTAATATGTTTTCGGGGCACTCGATTCCGACATCTTTACACGACCCAATGTTTTTTTGAAGGATTCCGACATGCGCAAGCGACGGCGTGCGCGTACGCATTTTGTTTTTGTTCCTGTTGCAAGGGGTTCTTGCCACCTGATAATGTTTGAAATCGAGTGCACGCGCATAGCATTTGTTGCAGAGGATGCGGGGGGGGGGCTCCGGCCTGGTTGGGATGGTCTGAATTCATATTTCGGACGGACGATGGGGCAGAGTCATTCGTAAATTGCACATCCCCAGGGGGTCCGACAAGATTGGCCTCGGGAGGGTCGTGAATCTTATGTTTTGGGTCGGGAGACAGTGCATGTGGTTTGTTCCGTGTGGTGCAAGCTGCGTTCTGCACTCTATGTAGCGCACATTAACAACCCAAGGCAACGCAACACAATGCCAAACAACGCAAATAGGATCTCAAAGCAAAGCAACCCAATTACCAAACCATGCCGAGCTCTGCAAGGCGCGCGGCGCCGAGGCGGGTAGCGGCGACGACGAGGCGGCGACGGCGACGACATACCCGCCAGAGCGGCCCTCAGGCCCTTGCTTTTCTCGCTGACAAGAAATTGAAAATTTTGAAAGCAAATTGAATTTTGTTCGTTTTCTTTTTCAATTGGTGTTTCGCTTGAATGCAACACCTTTAGTAACTTCATTTTGTTTCAGACAAGAATCCCCAGTTCCAGAGCCGTTTGGAGAAAAATCGGGGAATTCCCCTGGGACCTCCTGCAGAACCGAATGCCCTCACGGGGACTAGCCGGGGCCCCTTCACGGGGGAGGTTTTTTTTGGGGGGGGGGCATCACGGAGGGGCGGGGCCGCGTCAGCTCGCCGGGCGGCCGGGCCTGGGGGCGAAGAGGGTCCGCGCCCCGGTTTCCGCTTCCATCCCCGGCGCTTCCACCGGGCAAGACGAGATTGGATCATCGTCGAGGTAGCTGCTCCAAAGCAGGAGCCGATACGATGAGCAGCCGAATGGTGAGATGCCGTCGTATGCCGAGCATTTGAGAATTCAAGACGGATGGACTGTTGGATCTGAAGATCCAAGCCGGACCAAAGGGCCCCGAGCACTGACATTCGCATTCAAAGTCGCTCACACACAAGCATTCAAACTCAAGCCTGTCCACACCCATACCCGCTCATACCCAGGACCAATCGCCCCAACAGGTCTGCTCAGCTTCAGTTCTGCCCAGATTCACTTAAACTCAGACGCTCGTATTCAGACTCGCTCACGCTCAGACCAACCTACATTCAGACACTCAGGAAGGGGCGCGCTATAGCATAACTGCACATAAAGGGAGCTCCGCGTCGAGGAACTCAAGAACAAGCGAGTTCGCACACGGAGGGCATCACCGGGGCTCCGCGGCCAGGCGAAAGCGGCAGAGGGGGAGGAGGGACATGCAGAGATGGCGGGATGCCCTGGGCCTTCGACTCCCCAGCAGGACGAGGCCGCTGGCTTCAGATGCGACAGAGGGAGCCTGCAGGTCTACGTCGAGGGCGTGCCCCACGATTTGCAATACGCCCAGGCCGCGTTTGCGGGCTTTAGAAAAGGATGCGGAGAAGGCGGATGAGGAGGCGGACCAGTGTAAACCCAAGGTCCATTGACGATATTGCAACAGACCCTCCCTCTCAGTTTCCTCTTCACAGGCCCCTACAAGGATATATGTTCATCGAGGGAAGTGGAAGACGACCGTTTGAAAATCCTGAAACGTACCAGAACACCATTCCTGGAACTTCAACGCCGCGAATCACTGTATTTGTTGCGCCTTGACGATCCTGAACCGTGGCAGAACACCATTCTTGGGACGTGAATTCAGCGAATCAGCGTAAGTGTTTCGCCCTGACTGTCCGACGTCTTGCCAAACCAATATTATGGGAGCGTTACAATGGTAATCCTTGAAGCTGTTGTGAATTTACACATCGAATGTGCGCTGTGCAATGGCGAGTGCCACATTTTGAAAACGACCAGCCCTCCATCTGTGACGCTCTTGCATGTTTTTTGTGCGCGGCGCTTATGCGAGAGTCACATTTTGAAAACCACCCGCACTCCTTCTGTGACGCTCAGACATTTGTTTTAAGACGGATGTGCGCGGCGCGAAACCGAGAGCCACATTTTGAAAACGGCCCGCTCACCAACAGTGAATCCCTTTCAATGTGTTCAGACGAATGCGCGCGGCGCTCAGGCGAGAGCCACATGTTGAAGACGACCCGCCCTTCATCCATGAAGCTCTTGCAATTTTACAAGACGAGTGTGCCCAACGCCCAGGCGAGTGCCACATTTTGAAAGCGGCCCGCTCTCTATCCGAGCAATTGTTGCACATCTGATGCTTCAGGATCAGAGAATTACCCTGTGACGTACACAACCCATTTGTATCAATGGAAACGAGGAGTTGGCCGAAACTTGTACGGATAATCGACTTGATGTGTAAGCTATTTGGGAGGCGTCACTGTGCTGGGCCCCGCAAGCAGGCCTCGAAATTTGCGACAACTTCACAGATCGCAGCTCCCCAAGGATGGCGAGGTCTAATTTGAATCTGCGTGTGTACCCACTGTGCTGGGCCCCCCAGCAGGCTTCGGAAGTGACGGCACTTTCACAGTTCGCAGCCCCCCAGGGATGGCGAGGTCCGATTTGAGTCCGCGGTGAGTGCCCACTGTGCTGGACCCCCCAGCAGGCCTCGAACGTGGCGGCAGTTTCACAGATCGCAGCCCCCCAGGGATGGCGAGGTCCAATTTCAGTCCGCCGTGTGTACCCATTGTGCTGGGCCCCCCAGCAGGCCTCGAAGGTGGCGACAGTTTCACAGACCGCAGCCCCCCAGGGATGGCGAGGTACCATTTGAGTCCGCCGTGGGTACCCACTGTGCTGGGCCCCCCAGCAGGCCGCGAAAGTGGCGAACGTTTCACAGATCGCAGCCCCCCAGGGATGGCGAGGTCTATTCTGAGTCCGCCGTGGGTACCCACTGTGATGGGCCCCCCAGCAGGCCTCGAAAGTGGCGACAGTTTCACAGATCGCAGCCCCCCAGGGATGGCGAGGTCTAATTGAAGTCCGCGGTGTGTGCCCACTGTGCTGCCCCCCCCCAAGCAGGCCTCGAAAGTGGCGAAAGTTTCACAGACCGCAGCCCCCCAGGGATGGCGAGGTCTAATTGGAGTCCGCGGTGTGTACCCACTGTGCTGGGCCCCCCAGCAGGCCTCGAAAGTGGCGACAGTTTCACAGATCGCAGCCCCCCAGGGATGGCGAGGTCAAATTTCAGTCCGCGGTGGGTACCCACTGTGTTGCGCCTCCCAGCAGGCCTCGAAAGTGGCGACAGTTTCACAGATCGCAGCCCCCCAGGGATGGCGAGGTCAAATTTGAACCCGCCGTGTGTACCCACTGTGCTGGGCCCCCCAGCAGGCCTCGAAAAGTGGCGACAGTTTCACAGATCGCAGCCCCCCAGGGATGGCGAGGTCAATTTCAATCCGCCGTGTGTACCCACTGTGCTGGGCCCCCCAGCAGGCCTCGAAAGTGGCGACAGTTTCACAGATCGCAGCCCCCCAGGGATGGCGAGGTCCAATTTCAATCCGCCGTGTGTACCCACTGTGCTGGGCCCCCCAGCAGGCCTCAGTTTCACAGTTGGCGAGTGGCGAGTTTCACAGACCGCAGCCCCCCAGGGATGGCGAGGTCCAATTTGAATCCGCCGTGTGTACCCACTGTGCTGGGCCCCCCAGAAGGCCTCGAAAGTGGCGACAACTTCACAGACCGCAGCCCCCCAGGGATGGCGAGGTTCAATTTCAATCTGCCGTGTGTACCCATTGTGCTGGGCCCCCCAGCAGGCCTCGAAAGTGGCGACAGTTTCACAGATCGCAGCCCCCCAGGGATGGCGAGGTCTATTCTGAGTCCGCCGTGTGTACCCACTGTGCTGGGCCCCCCAGCAGGCTTCGAAAGTGGCGGCATTTTCACAGATCGCAGCCCCCCAGGGATGGCGAGGTCAAATTTCAGTCCGCGGTGGGTACCAACTGCGTTGAGCCTCCCAGCTGGCCTCGAAGGTGGCGACAGTTTCACAGATCGCAGCCCCCCAGGGATGGCGAGGTCCAATTTGAATCTGCGTGTGGCGTCACTGTGCTGGGCCCCCCAGCAGGCCTCGAAAGTGGCGACAGTTTCACATATCGCAGCCCCCCAGCTGGCACGCAGCGACGAGCAAGGCAAAAGGCAAGAGGGAAGAGAGGGGCGGGAAGAAAGGAAGGAAACGCGCGAGTTGTGCTCTATTCAAAACGAGAACCCAACGCAGGAGGGTTGGGAAAAAGTGAAGAAGTCTTCGGCGAAACGCCTGACCCGCCCTTTCGACCGGCCTCGGGCTGCGACAGGGAGGAGTTAGGAAGAAGGGAAATAAATTGAGAAGGAGGAGGAGGAGGAGGAGGAGGAGGAGGAGTTGGCGAGGAAGGCGGAGGAGGAGCAGTAAGATGAGCATGACGGGCAGCAGGAGAAATTCTTTACGCTTCGCGAATCCCCACCAGCCCATCTCACAACAGCAACTCTTGCGAAGCATGTCGGCAGTCGTGTTTTTCAGGCGTGTGTCCGCTTGGCCCCGCATATCTCCCCTGTTACTCCTTCCTCCCGCCTCCTTGTACATCCTCCTTGTGGGGGGAGCGGGAGAAGGACGAGGCGGAGGAGGAGGGAGAGAAAGCGCTCCTCGTGGTTTGAGTCGTTTGGGGTTTCTCGTCCTGGTGTGAGTCGTTCGGGCCCTTCTTCCTGGTGTGAGTCGTTCGGGCTCTTCGTGGTGTGAGTCGTTCGGGCTCTTCGTCCTGGTGTGAGTCGTTCGGGCTTCTCGTGGTGTGAGTTGTTCGGGCCCCTCGTCCTGGTGTGAGTCGTTCGGGCCCCTCCTCCTGGTGTGACTCGTTCGGGCTCCTCGTGGTGTGAGTCGTTCGGGGCCCTCGTCGTGGTGTGAGTCGTTCGGGCTCCTCGTGGTGTGAGTCGTTCGGGCGCCTCGTCCTGGTGTGAGTCGTTCGGGTCCTGGTGTGAGTCGTTCGGGCCTTTCTGGTGTGAGTCGTTCGGGCTCTTCGTGGTGTGAGTCGTTCGGGCCCCTCGTCCTGGTGTGAGTCGTTCGGGCTCCTCGTGGCGTGAGGCGTTCGGGCACCTCGTCCCCTTTTGGGGCGTCTTGGGGGCCTCTTGGCGGCCCCAGGGGCTTCTAGGAGCGTCTTGGGTGCCTTGGGGGAGCCTCTTCGGGCCTCTTGGGAGCCTCTTGGAGGCCGTTTGGGGCGTCTTGGGGGCCTCTTGGCGGCCCCAGGGGCTTCCAGGAGCGTCTTGGGTGCCTCGGGGGAGCCTCTTGGGGCCTCTTGGGGGCCTCTTGGGGGCATCTTGGAGGCCTCTTGGAGGCCTCTTGGGGGCCTCCTGGGGGCCTCTTGGGGCCATCTTGGGGCCTCTTGGTGCCTCCTGGGCGCTTCTTGGGGCCACCTTGGTGGGAATCGATCAAAGAAGAGGGGAGCTTTAATGAGCGCTGCCCCCTCAGAATGGCAAGATGAGGCCAAAACCTTTGTAAAATCAATGATTGTGCCTTGAAATAAGAGGGGAGCTTTAAGGAGCGCTGCCCCCTCGGAAGGCCAAAATGGGGCCAGAACCGTAGTAAAATCAATAATTTTGGCTTCAAAGAAGAGGAGAGGGTTTTTTGTGCCTCCCCCCGTCGGGGCCAGAATCCTTGTGAGGGGTGCCGTGTTTTAGCCCTCCCAGGAGTCAAAAACGACCCCTCTGACCACCCGCGGAACGCCCTCTCCAGGCCCAGGGGGAGGGGGTAGGGGGAGGGGTAAACCCCTCCCCGAAGGGGAAGAAGGGGGTTGAGAACAGAGCGGGCTCTCTAAACCACTCACGCCCAAAGGGCTGGTGGGATTTGAGCTTTCGCCTCGGGAGGGAGCCCAAGCCGTGCCAGCCTCGTCGGCCAGCAGCCGGCCCTCCTGGCTCAGCCCGGGGCGTCTGCCGAGGCCGACGGGGCCCCGCCGCGCCCAGTCCTGCGCTCCGTGGCTGGTGGCCCGCCCCTCCCGGCGAGCTCTTGGAGGACTGGAGGGGGAGAGAGAGGGGAGGGCGACGAGGACGACGAGGAGGACGACGGGGAGGACGACGGAGAGAGAGAGAGGGGGGAGGGCGACGAGGAGGACGAGCATGTGGAGCGGGGGAGGCCCCGCCGCTGCAGGCCCGCTCGTCGCTGGCCAGCACGGACAGCCAGGCCGCGGACGCGGCCGCCCGCCCGTCCTGGGCGCCGCCGCAGCCCCGCTCGTCGCTGGCCAGCCAGGCAGAGGCCCAGGGGAGGAACTGGCAACCGATGCCGCTAGAGGAGGAGGAGGAGGAGGCGGCGGAGGAGGAGGAGGAGGAGGAGGAGGAGGAGGAGGAGGACGAGTAGGGGGAGGAGGAGGAGGAGTACGGGGAGGAGGAGGAGGAGGAGGTGGAGGCGAGCGTCAGGAACCCAAGTGCTCTTCGCCTGGGTGCCCCGGGCTTCTTCGCTCCGCGCGCTGCACGTCGCAACCCACCAGACCACCCCAACCCGGCCCGAAGGCCTCGATTTGCCCTCCACTTCCAATGGGGCCAGAGAAACGCTGAAAAACACAGAAAAACAGATATGGATCCCGTATCCCCCCAACTCGAGTCTTCGGGTTGGGTTGGGGTGGTCTATTAGGCAGCACGGTGACTTCCCGCCGCCGTTGAAGAAGCTGCTGCGTTCAGTGTGCTCCGGGTTTCCCCTCAGGTGCACCTCGCGCGCGGGTTTTCAGGGCTGGGTTCCTTGCGATGGTTTCCTGCGGCCGCGCCCGCACCGCAGCCGAAGTTGCTACGCTTCCCTCGTGCCGGCCTTTGTGGCCTCCTGGAAGGCCTCGCCGCCACGGCCCGACTCTTCTTGACGTTCGGGTCGTGACGCACCCCGGGGAGAGGCTCTCGGGGAGCGGCGGCGCTGGCAGCTTTTCGCCCCCCCCGCAGGTGGGGGCCGCCCGTCTGTCCCAGGTGCGGCCGCAGCCCCGCTCGTCGCTGGCCAGCCAGGCAGAGGCTCGGGGCCGCACGCCCTGCGCTCTTCTCTCTGGCCCCATTGGTGCCTGATCCGCAGGAGGTGGCGTCTGGGAGTCGTTCCCCTCGTCCTGGTGCCTTTTCTTCTCGTCGTCCTCCTTTTGCCTTCCTTGCGCGGCATGGTCAGGGCACCAGCGGAGGATGAGGGAGGAGGGGAGGGAGGAGGAGGACCTCCCCTTCTTCTCCCCTCTTCATTCCGAAAGCTCCTCCACTCCCTTCTTCTCCTCCTTATCCTGCTTCTCCTGCTCTAACCTCCTCCTCCTCCTCTTGCTCCTCCTCCTCCTCCTCGCCCTCCTCGTCCTGTTCTCTATCGCCGCCCCAAGACACCTCTGTGGGCCAGAAAACAGCCCTCGATGCATTCACATGGGCGATGCATGACGAGAAGAAGCGAGGAGGAACGTGGCGGAGGAAGCAGAGGAAGAGGGTCGATGGAACTAGGCATCAGTGGGATGAGCAGGAATGAGAAGAAAACTGGGGAGAGAGACGAGAGAGAGAGAGAGAGAGAGCGAGATCGCAAAGGTTAGACGAGCCCAACGCTCGTCAGGCCCCGCGGCTACGAGCGCCGCGCGGGCCAGCCTCTGAGGGCGGGAGGTGCAGCATGTGTGCAGCAGTGGTGGTGGGGCGACCTCCCCTCTGGCGCGGCCCCTGGGGCCCGTCTGGAAAATAGAACGAGTGGCGGTGACCAGGCCGCTGTGGGGCCCGTCTGCGCCTCCGTGGCAGAAGCGCTGCCCATGCACATGCTCTGACTTCCGCGATGCAGCACTTGTACATGGGCAGCTCAAAACACGCATGTCAGCACATCCCTTACACGTTTCCTGGCCCCAGACGGGTCCCCACCGAAGGTCCCAGTGGCGCAGTTCGCGTGCGGTCCTGCAACCTATTTCGGCACACGCCTCACACGTTTCGTTGCCCAATAGGGCGCCCCACCGAAGATCCCAGTGGCGCAGCTCGCATGAGGTCCCGCAACCTATTTCGGCACACGCCTCACACGTTTCGTGGCCCCATAGGGTGCCCCACCGAAGGTCCCACCGGCGCAGTTCGCATGCGGTCTCGCATCAATTCTGGCACGGCACTCGCGCATTCCGTGGCCCCATAGGGTGGCCCACCGAAGGCCCTAGTGGCCCAGTTCGCATGCGATCCCGCATCAATTTTGGCACACCCCTCAAACGTTTCGTGGTCCCATAGAGAGCTCCACCGAAGGTTCCAGCGGGGCAGTTCGCATGCGTCCCCGCCATCCATGTTGGCACGCCCCTCAAACGTTTCGTGGGCACATAGGGAGCTCCACCAAAGGTCCCAGTGACGCAGTTCGCATGCGTCCCCGTCACTCATTTCGGCACACGCCTCACACGTTCCGTGGCCCCACAGGGAGCTCCACTGGAGGTCCCAGTGTCGAAGTCCGCACGCGCCCCCGCCGCTCACTTCGGCACACCCCTCGCACGCTTCGTCGCGCCACAGGAAGCTCCACCGAAGGCCCCAGTGGCGCAGCCCGCATGCGTCTCCCAGGCCCAGACCACCGCTTCCTGGGCGCCCCCCCCCCCTCCCGCGCCCATGCCGGCACGCCCCTCACACGTCTCGCGGCCCCATCAGGAGTCGGGAGCCTTGAGACGGGGGTCAATGCAGACGGGGGTCAGCCAGGGCGCCAGATCCTGCAGGATCCTGCGAAGACCCCCTCTGGCTGACCCGGGTTAGCGAGCCGCTCGTGGCCGCGAGGCGGCCGCGCATATTGGCTGACCCAGGGTTTGCGCAGACCTGCGTTGCAGTTTTTTTTCCCTGCACTGCAGTTTTTGGTTTCCTGCTGACCCGGGCCTGGATTGACACGGGTCAGAAGAAGATCCCCGAAGGAGCTTACACCGAAGACCCCGCCTGTGGTCCCAGCCAACCATTTCGGTACACCCTTCGCACGGCTTTGCTCACAAGTTCATGCGGATAGGTCTTCCGCCAGGCTCGTTTATCCCGCGTAGGTTGTGTTCCGGTACCGGTGCCCGAGACCGACCTCCAGAGCCCAAGAATGACGACAAACCGTCTGCCCATCTTCTCGAGGCGCCGGATGCCGGACGCTCTGCGCCGTTTTTTCGGCCCCGCCCTGCCTGGCTGCTTACAGTCGGGGCCCTGAAGAAGGAACCCTTTTCGTTGGGGAGGGGCTCGGTGTTCCTTGCTTGTTCTGCAGTGTACCTTCGGTTCTCCCGAGGTTTCCCATGGGAAATCGAAGTTCAACTTATGGGAGGAAGGGGCCTCGTTCGTTATTTAGGGTTCCTTAGGTCAACGCCCCGACTGTACTCCGAGCCTGTCAAGAGGGCCCTCGCGCGTCCGCCCGCCGCAGTTCTCCCGCAGGCCGCGCTGCAGCCCCCGCCCCAGCAGGAGGAGGCCGCCGCTCCCGCGAGGGACAGGGGGAGCCTCCAGGTCTATGTCGAGGGCATGCCGCACGCAGTCCCGCAGTACGCCCAGGCCGTAGGAGGAGGCGGAGGAGGAGGCGGAGGAGGAGGAGGAGGAGAAGGAGAAGGAGGAGGAGCAGGCGGAGGAGGCGGAGGAGGCGGTGGAGCAGGAGGAGGAGGAGGAGGAGGAGGAGGAGGAGGAGGAGGAGGAGGAGCAGGCGGAGGAGGCGGAGAGAGGCGAAGGAGGAGGCTGCGGAGGAGCTGCAGCGGCATCGGGAAGCACACGGGGAGGCAGACCACCGAGGGAGGCGGCAGGGCGAGGAGGGATGGCAGGGCGCGGGCAGCAGGGGCCGCTGGTGGAGCACGAGGAGGAGGCGGGGAGCAGCCAGACCGGCCGGGGGCGGGCGGCGAGGGGCACCGCGGGCAGGGGAGAGCGGGCCGCGCTGCCGCCCGCCGCGGCAGGCCCGCTCGTCGATGGCGAGCACGGCCAGCCGGGCAGCGGCGGGCGCCCGCCCGTCGCAGGCCCGCGCGTCGCGAGCCCGCGCGTCGCGGGCCGCAGGCCAGCCACAACGGGGGGGGCTGTGGTCCTGCCCCCCCCTGGCTTGGCATCGCTCGGACGTGTGCATTTTTCATCGGCAGGGGCCATCGAGGAGCATCTTTGTGCACGCTGCGGAAAAATACACACGAAACCGAAAAATGCACAGGGAATAGACGTCCAAGCGATGGCGAGCTGGGGGACCCATCGATTTCGACACCCCTCTCGAGAGATCGTCGATGCGATGGGTTCCACCGGAGGGGGTAAGGACCACAGCTCCCCCAGTCATGGCCGGTCGGGGCCGGTGAGGCAGGAGCGGGGGCTGCCCTCGGGACGATCGGCAGGGGTACGGAAAGGATGGGTACAAAGACCCACGGCAGCTCCTGCTCATATGGAGCAGGATTCGCTGCCGGCGTCGCCGCGGACTGCGCCCATGTGAGGCAGAAGCCCGCCTGCCCAACAGCGGCCGCTGTGCACTATACCCATTTTTTGTCCGTACCCATGCCGGGCGCCCGAGTGCACGGCGGCAGCCCTCTCCCGCCCAGCTCCTCCTGCCTCCTGCGGGCGCCTGCCTCCTGCCTCCTCTCCGGCCTTCCGCCCCTCCAGCCTCCCCGTCTCTTGCTTGTGCCCCCCTGCCGTCAGAAGCGGCGAGCACACCCGCACGGTAGGTTCGCGTCGTGTCGACCGGCGGCGACCCCGCCGCTGGCGCTCAACGTTGAATGCCGCCAGCAACCCAGAATCTCGGGCCGGACGAAAGGGGGGGATTGGGAAAGGGGGGGTTACGAAATTTGCTGCATGCAGCTGGTTTCGGCCTCACTGAGGGGCCCATTTCTCGATACATCGCCGCCTCTGGCGGCGGGAGGCCCCGGGAAAATCAGCTACGTGAGCTGATTCTCAAACCCCCCCTTTGCTATCCCCCCTTTTCGCCCGACCTGAGAATCGGTCGAGGTTGAATGATCGGACGTGTCGGACACGGCCGATCGTTCAAGGTTGAACGATGCTCGCGGTGTCAGAACCTATCGCCGAAGTCGGCACGACACGAACCTGCCGTATCTGCGCCCTCCAGGTCTGGATTCCGGGGCGCGATCCCGCGGATACGAGGTCGCACGGACACGTTCCGCGCGGGGTGTCCGCGACACAGCGCTCCGCGTCCGCGGGGTCGCGGCCCACGATCGCGGCCCGCGAGGCCGCGGAGACGGATATGTGTTCCGCCAACGCCTGTCCCCTGTCCCCTGTCCCCCGCGTTCTGCTCAGTCACGGCATCGATGGGGGAGGGGACAGAGCTTCCTGAGCACGAGTGTGAACGATTGAGGAGCAAATAAGTCGAAAGCTCAAATAATGGTTCGATGAGAAGTGCGGGGGGAAGTAGGAGGAGGAGGAGGAGGAGGAGGAGGAGGAGGAGGAGGAGGAGGAGGAGGAGGAGGAGGAGGAGGAGGAGGAGTAGGCGTCATTAGGAGCGAGCAGAAAACAGGAGGAACGGTGACTGAGAATTTTGAATGAGCGAGGAGGAATGAGGATAACCGGGAGAAGCGACCGCCTCGGAGGGAGCCACGTAAAATATGTTTTTGACCGGGAGTCCGTCCAGTCGTTATCCGCATAGTTTCCGGGTACGGCCCAATGGGTCTGAGGATTCGTCCCGTAATGCCCCCGAGACGGTCCGAAGCTTCAGCCCCCGAGACGCCCCAGAGATCCCCAGTCCCCAGTCTCAGCCACCGTACCAGGCAACACAGGAGTATGAGTTTCCACTATGTGCAGGCACGGATGCGGATACTGGATACCCTTCTGATGTTCCAACCTACTTTAGCCTTGATCACCAGAACGAATTTCGAGCGCCAAGTACCGAAACTGGATGGTTTTCACGTGTCGGGCCCTGGGAGGCAATGCTCGTTCGACACTTCGCTGGCGTGTGGGGCACACCGTTTCGATACTTCTCTGATGCTCGAAGTCGTTTTCATTGGATGTGGCCCGTACGATGGGAGCAACACAAAGATATTCCTTTGCAGGAGGGAGAATGGGGGAGGGAGGTGGGAGAAGGTAGAAGAGGAGCAGGAGGAGGAGGAGGAGGAGGAGGAGGAGGAGGAGGAGGAGAAGGGGGAGGGAGGAGGGGGAGGAGGGGCGCAAGTTACCCATACCTCTACACTGCGCCCGCTTCCCTCCTTTTTCGCCCTCCTGAGTGGCCCAGGTCGCCGCCGCTGGATTCGCCTCGGAGTGCTGGTCAGAACGCACGCAAGGAGAGGTCCGGGGAGTAGCGGTATCGGTGCCTTTTGGTTTCCACAGCAGGATGTAGCAGGCTTTCTCATTCCGTTCGCGGGAAGAGCGCGCAGGAGTTCGACCGCGTTGTCAGATGCCTTGACAGCAGGGCAAGCCGTTCCGTTGTAATTTGTGGCCTTCTTCCAGAGACCCTGGCATCAGGCAAATCCGCTTGGCTTACACCTGGATGCTCACATACATCCTGTATCGAAGACGCCTACGGCGAATCACCGCCGCCCCCTGCCTTTGTGGAAGCGCCTATGTGGCCGAACGTTGAGGCCAGACCTGCCAAGCTATCAGACCATGTGTTCCCCGATTCGGTTTGGAAAGCCTTCGGGGAACACGTGGGCATCTAGAAGGTCATCTTGGCCGCCTGGAGGCCATTTTGACACTTTCGGGCCTTCTTGGAGGACGTCTTGGAGGGCTCGTGGGCCGTCTTGAACGCCATCTTGAGCGTCTTGGAGGCCTCTTGGGCCGTCTTGGGGGCCTCTTGGGGCCGTCTTGGGCGCCTCTTGGGCCGTTCTGGGGCCATCTTGGAGGCCTCTTGGGCGATCCTTGGGCGATAGTTGGGAGCTCTTGGGCCGTATCGGGTTCGTCGGAAGGCCGAAATTAAGGAAATGTCAGAATCCTTCAAACACCTTTGGAACATCAACCTTTTTAGCCTTTTCTGGCCTTCCTGGAGGCCCTCCTGGAGGCCTCTTGGGCCGTCTTGGGCAAGCTGCGAGCCACCTTCGGCCATCTTGGTGGGCTCCTGGCCCGTCTGACGCCGTCGGAAGCCGTTTCGGGTGCCTTTCTGGGCCGTTTTGGGGCCCTCTTGGGGTGCTCCAGGGCCGTCTCAGAGGCCATATTGGGCGTCTTCGAGGCCTCTTGGGTCGTCTTGGCGCCCTCTTGGGGCCGTCTTGGGGGCCTCGTGGGCCGTCACGGGGCCATTTTGGAGGCCTCTTGGGCGATCTTGGGGCGACCTTGGGGGCCTCTGGGGCCGTCACGGGCTGTCGGAAAGCCGAAAAGGCGCAAATGCCAAGATCCTTCAACAACCTCGGAAAATCAATGATCAATGATTTTGGCCTCGTCAGGCCTTCTGGAGGACCTCTTGGAGGCCTCTTGGGCAGTCTTGGAGGCCTCTTCCGGGCCTTTTGGGCCGTCTTAGACCATATTGGGGCCATCTTGGGCCGTCTTGGATGCATCTTGGGGCCATCTTAGCCGTCTTGGAGGCCATCTTGGCTGTCTTGGAGGCATCTTGCAGGCCATCTTGGGCCATCTTTGCGATTTTTCCCAACCATCCTGTGGGTCCTCGTTTTGAAGAGACGTCGCCCCATGTTTCTCCTCCTCCTCCGTTCCTCTCCTCCTCCCCCTCCTCCCCCCTCCTCTCTGCGTTTCACCCACCCAGTACAGCGCTTCGTGGCCCCATAGGGAGCTCCACTAAAGGCTCCAGTGGCAGCGTTCGCATGGTGGCCCCGCGCCATTTGGGCGCACCCCTCACGAGAATCGTGGCCCCATAGGGAGCTCCACCGAAGGCCCCAGTGGCAGCGTTCGCATGGTGGCCCCGCCCCATTTTGGCGCACCCCTCACGAGGATCGTGGCCCCACAGGGAGCTCCACCGAAGGCGCCAGTGGCAGCGTTCGCATGGCGGCCCCGCCCCATTGCGGCGCACCCCTCACGAGGATCGTGGCCCCATAGGGAGCTCCACCGAAGGCGCCAGTGGCAGCGTTCGCATGGCGGCCCCGCCCCATTTCGGCGCAACCCTCAAGGGATCGTGGCCCCATAGGGAGCTCCACCGAAGGCCCCAGTGGCAGCGTTCGCATGGTGGCCCCGCCCCATTTTGGCGCACCCCTCACGAGGCGGGAGCTCCACCGAAGGCCCCAGTGGCAGCGTTCGCATGGTGGCCCCGCCCCGTTGTAGCGCACCCCTCACGAGGATCGTGGCTCCATAGGGAGCTCCACCGAAGGCCCCAGTGGCAGCGTTCGCAAAGTGGCCCCGCCCCATTTTGGCGCAACCCTCAAGGGGATCGTGGCCCCATAGGGAGCTCCAGCGAAGGCCCCAGTGGCAGGGTTCGCATGGTGGCCCCGCCCCATTGTGGCGCACCCCTCACGAGGATCGTGGCCCCATAGGGAGCTCCAGCGAAGGCCCCAGTGGCAGCGTTCGCATGGCGGCATCGCCCCATTTCGGCGCACCCCTCACGAGGATCGTTCCCCATAGGGAGCTCCACCGAAGGCCCCAGTGGCAGCGTTCGCATGTTGGCCCCGCCCCATTGTGGCGCACCCCTCACGAGGATCGTGGCCCCATAGGGAGCTCCACCGAAGGCCCCAGTGGCAGCGTTCGCATGGCGGCACGGACCCATTTTGGCGCACCCCTCACGAGGATCGTGGCCCCATAGGGAGCTCCACCGAAGGCCCCAGTGGCAGCGTTCGCATGGCGGCCTCGGGCCATTTCGGCACACCCCTCACGAGGATCGTGGCCCCATAGGAGCTCCAGCGAAGGCCCCAGTAGCAGCGTTCGCATGGCGGCCCTGCCCCATTGCGGCAGACCCCTCACACGGTTCGCGGCCCTAGGGAGCTCCACCGAAGGCGCCAGTGGCAGCGTTCGCATGGCGGCCCCGGGCCATCGGCGCCCCCCTTCACGAGGATCGTGGCCCCATAGGGAGCTCCACCGAAGGCGCCAGTGGCAGCGTTCGCATGGCGGCCTCGAACCATTTCGGCACACCCCTCACGAGGATCGTGGCCCCATAGGGAGCTCCAGCGAAGGCCCCAGTGGCAGCGTTCGCACGGCGGCCCCGCCCCATTTCGGCACACCCCTCACGAGGATCGTGGCCCCACAGGGAGCTCCACCGAAGGCCCCAGTGGCAGCGTTCGCATGGTGGCCCCGCCCCATTTTGGCGCACCCCTCACGAGAATCGTGGCCCCATAGGGAGCTCCAGCGAAGGCGCCAGTGGCAGCGTTCGCATGGCGGCCTCGGGCCATTTCGGCACACCCCTCACGAGGATCGTGGCCCCATAGAGAATTCCTCTTGCTTCGTCCCACCTGCCCTGCGGTATTCACGTTTGCATATGGTTGGGTCCTTCGCCAGGATAATTTGAGGATGTCCCGAGCGAAACGGCCGTTTCGGGCATCGGCAGACGCGCTTTACGGGTGGCCGGCGGGACGCGCCAGAGCCCCAGGGGGAGTTCTTTTGGAAAAGAACCAAAACCCAAACCGAGAGGATCTAGCACGCCAGGCACCCCTGCGATGAATCGACAGGGGGCGGCGGATATATCGAATGGCCTTTGGCCCATCCCGCCACCGTGCCTGGGTTGTGGGTCTTAAAATCTTTTGAATACTCGTTGGGATTACGTCGAGGCCTCTCGGGGGCCTGGAGGCAGTTTTGAGGCCTCTGGGGGGCTGTTTTTGAGCCACCTTGTGGCCTCTTCGGGGCATTTTGGGCCTCGTGGGGGCCTCTTGGGACCCCCCTCTTGGAGGCATCTTCGGAGCGCCTGGGCCGTCTTGGAGCCTCTTGGGCAGTCTTGAAGCCGTTGTGAGGCCCTCCTGGAGGCCTCTTTCGCCGTCTCGATGCGATCTTGAAAGCGTCTTGAGCCGTCCTGGAGCGTCGGGAAGTCGAAACGGTGAGACTGCCAGAATTCCTTGACCAAAAATCTAGCGGCCATCTTGGGCGTCTTGGACCGATCGCTCGACGACTCGCAACTCTCTTCGGCCGTCTTTTGGGCTTCTTGGGGTCCTCTTGGCCCCTCATGGAGCTCTCTCGGCGTCTCAAAATCTCAGGCGACGGGGCGAAGGACCCAGTCATAATGCAGTTTTGAGTACCGCCGTCATGAGAACCGGTGGAGGAGTGGCTGCGTTCGCAGGGCGTACCCGGCTCCGATTCGACGCACCCCTCACACGTTTCGTGGGCCCATGGGGGGTTCCACCGAAGGCGCCAGTGGCTGTGTTCGCATGGCGTACCCGCCCCCGATTCGGTACAAACATCCAACGTTTCGTGGGCCTATTGGGAGCTTCACCGAATGCCCTAGCGTTAAGTCGGGCCTGTCCCTCCACAGGGGGGATATTCAAAAATAGAACAAATGGTCTGGGGACATTTGTTTTTAGGATGTTCTGGCATTTTTGGAGTATTCTTATTTTTCGTCCAAAATTCCCCTGTAAGGGGACAGGCCCGACCTATCCCTGGCGTCTGCGCTCGCATGTCGAACCCGCACCCGATGCGGCACACCCCTCACGCGATTCCTGTCCTCACAGGAAGCTCCACCCCCCTCCCTGCGCGCGGAGCGCGCCAGGGGCGGCGCCGGAGGCGCCGCCAGGGGGGGTCCAGCGCGGATCCGAGAAATCCGCGCGGACCTCCGAGCTATCATGCTTATGTCATTCTTCTTTCCCCTGAACACGCCTTGGCGACCTCATAGGGAACTATACCCTCGTTCTTCCCACCTGCTCTGCGGCACTCGCGTGCACGTGCATATGGTTGGGCTGTTCGCCCGGATAGTTTGTCCAAGAGACCCTGTTGGTAAACGATCTTTTGGTAGCAGCGGATGTGCGCGCAATGGGACATGAACGACGAAGCCAACCATATATGCACATTGCAATACAAAAGGGGGAGCGATAAGCCGGGCGCGGGGTGGCGGTACAGACTATTATTGCGAAGGCCTTACGGCCGGTGCCGCCGACCCTGGAGGGCGACCCATGCGTTCTCGTATGTGGCGGAGGGGGCGTCGTATCTGAGTGGCGCCCCCCCCCCGGGACCCCCCCCCGGGACCCCCCCGCTACCCCCCCCCCCCCCTCCCGGCGGGGGAGGGATCAAAGGGAAGGGGCTTCCCTTCGACTCAAATACGACGTTGCTGAAGTTCATTTGGGCTGGCGCGCTTGAGCAGGGGCCCCTGCTGGGAAAGAGGACGGGAGTGGCGACGGGCCCACGGAAAGGGAGGCGCAAGGAAGGGGGACGACAGAGACGACGACCAACGAACAACGGGGATGACGTCTCGAACGGAAAAGCCCCTCACACACGCCGACAGGGTCGGCGGATTTGTTTGAAAGGAGAACTTGCGTGTTGCAAGCCATCGCGGCGCGCACGATCAAGCACGGTTTGGGTTTTTTTGTTGTTGTTTCGTTCCATTGAGCGAGTTCAGTCTCGACGCCACCATCGTTGCCCCGCGATCGGCACAACAGACTAAACGAGCAGGTGGCGTCGGAGCAGGCAGCTTCGTGAGCGAGTCGTGGGTGCCTCAAAGCCCTGGCAGCTTCATCCTCAGAGTACTCACGCTGTTGCCGCATCTGGGCCTAGCAATCTGGAAAGGTGCAGGCAGCCGGGTAGCGAGCCGAGCGCCCGGCCCTTCCTCCCCTCCTTCCTCCTCCTCCCCCTCCCTTTCTTCCTGCTCCTCTGCCACAGGGCTTCGCTGGACGGTAAAAGTGAGACTGCGCCGATGCTGCTTGGAGCCGCGCCGCCTGGCGTCGACCTCTTGTCGAATCTGGGCCTGGCAATCTCTGAGACTGCGCCGCTGTGGCGCGGAGCAGCGTGGCCCGCAGCAGGATGGCACGGGAGGCCCGCAGGCGGCTGCGGAGGAGTGCGGGCGAGGGCAGGGCGTAGGGGGAACGAACCTTGACGTGAACATGCAGACCCGGAGGTCCGCGCGGATCCCTTGGATCCGCGCGGCCCTCCGAGTTTTTACGCTCCTGCCGCCCAGGGGCCGCCCAGGGCCGCCGCTCCCCTTGAATTTGGATTTTTCTGGTTTGATTAGAAGTGATACAGCTCCTATCGATATTGCTAGGCATACAGTCGGGGCCCTGAAGAACCCTTCTCGTTGGGGAGGGGTTCCGCGTTCCTTAAGTGTTTCGCAGCTTGCCTCAGGTTTTCCTTATGTTTTCGATAGGAAATCGAAGTTTAATCGAAGTTTAACTTGTGGAAAAAAGGGGCCTCGTTCCTTATTTAGGGTTCCTTAGGTCAACGCCCCGACTGTACGTATTGAAGCGTGTCTACTTTCCCTAAAACCAGTGTTCCTCTGTGCCCCCGCCGCCGTGCCCCCGGCGGAGGCCTCGCTGCCGCCCCCGCCCCCGCCGGAGGGCGCCGCCGAGCCCGCGGGCGCGGGGGCGCCCGCGGCGGGCGGCGGCGCTGGAGGCGGCCGGCGCCGCCGCAGCGGCGCCCGCCGCGAGACCTCCCGGTCGCAGGAGGGGAAAAAACACACAGACACAAAATTAGTCGTCGACTCCCAGGAAAAAATATGGGAAGTGGGGGGGAGGACGAAAGCCCAGAACATATGGGAAAATGTGGGGGATCTTGTTATTTGTACTTATTTGTGTGTTTGTGGGCCCCTTCAAGGTCGCGCGGGCCGGCGTAGTCCGGTGGAGCGAAAATCGGCTAGACGTAAGAGTGACCTTTCGCCGGAGTGACCTTTGGTGCGGGCCCACTGGGGTGCCCCGATCGCCGAACGCGAGGCGGCAGAGGCGTCTTGCGCGCCTGCTTCTGGCCCCCCCGCGGCCCCCAAAAAGCCGCGCACCAAAGGTCACTCTTACCCAGGGTCACTCTTGCGCGTAGCCGAGAAAAGCCCGCCGCCGCAGCGAAGCCCGCCGTGAGACCTCCAGGTCGCGCTTGCCAGCAGAGTCCGGCGGCGCGAAAAGCGCGTCGGTGTCCGAGGCGGCGTGTGTGTGTGTGTGTGTGTGTGTGTGTGTGTGTGTGCGTGTGTGCGTGTGTGCGTATTCGAAGTCGTTGCCTGAGGGGTTGTGTGTATGTGCGTGTCCGATGAATGGGAACAGCGGCAGAAACAAAAAACCTTTTTTTTGGCGTTCCGCGCGGATCTCCTGGATCCTCGCTCTGGCCCCCCTGGCGGCTCCTCCGGCGCCGCCCCTGGCGAGCTCCGTGCGCCGTGGAGGGCGGGCAAGCGCGGATCCAAGAAATCCGCGCGGAGCGCCAAAAGTTTGTGTTTATTCAGGAGGGGAAAAAAACACACACAGACACAATTAGTCCTCGATCCCCCAAAAAATATGCGAAGATATGGGAAGTGGGGGGGAAGATAGAAACCCAGAAAATATGGGGAATCTTTTCTATTTGTGTGTATTTATTTGTGTGTCCCAGGGCCCCTTCATTTATGGCGTTGCCTCTTCTTCTACGCGTGCTGTCCTTCGCCGCCAGGCCCATCCCGTGCTCGTCAGCGTGTCGTCGCCTCTGCTCCCTGCGGAGCCTGTCTCCTGCAGGCTGGGTGACAAGCTTGTCGTCTGCACAGCACGCGAGCGTCTGTGTGTTGTTTGTTTGTGCGTGCACGCGTCGACTCTTCACACCTAAACCATGTACACACGCCGCTCCCAAGGCATCCTGGGGTGCACGGGGCTGCTCCGGGGGCCTGAATTGGTTGGGCCCAGGACGATCGGTCAAGAGAGGGGGATGAGGCCAGATCATGTGGTGGAGTTTTCACCCTGGATCAGTCTTTGCCCCAGAGCCCGAAGAAGGCCCCCAGAGGCTGAAAGAAGCAAGGGTGGGCCTTCTTGAGCCCGAACAAGTTATGCGGGAAGCCGCGGCCAGCCCTAGGGGAACCGCGCCAAGGCCCGGAAGACTCTGCGTCAAGCCTCGGAAGCCGCGGCAATTTGGTGTCCGGGCCCCTCGAAGATTCTTCAGGACTGAGAACTGGGGCTCAGTGGATTGGGCAAAGGACCTCAGGACACGCCCACTCCGTGCCCAGGGCACGGTGGCTGATGACGGGAAGCGCCTCTGGCGTGCACGGTTGGTTCAGGGGCATTCATGTTATCTAGTTAAGGGGTGCGGATTGAACCCAGAAGTTTCGCTGGCGGATGACGGGAAGCGCGTCACGCGATGGACGATGGTTACGACCCAGGAGGGAAACGTTTGTCAATGGGGGGTGTCCAGATGGGGGAGTGCATGTTATCCCTCCGTGATGGGCGCCTGGCGCATGACGGGACGCGTCTTCGAGGAATGAGAAGCAGGCTGGGCGTTCTGGCTGAAATCGTAACATTTCTCAACATGTGTGAAGAATCTTCTTAGCATACCGTGGCGGGCCGCACGGGGAACCGGCTTAGCAGATGACGGGAAACGCGTTCAGACTCAGAGAGTCGTGCGGTGGACATTTGCAGCCCAGGGTGATGTTTTATCATGTGGGGAGGTCTTGGAGGGGGAACGCGCGGGATGCATTCGAGGTCGGTTGCGATCGGAGGATGACGGGAAGCGCGCTCTGACTCGAAGAGTCGCGCGATGAGCTTTGCTATCGACCCGGCAGGATCAAGTGAGAGAAGCTATTTCCAATTTGGGGGGTCCAGGGGTGGAAGGGCTCGGGGTCGCTCTTCTGTCCCAGACCTTGCGGGTGACGGGAGCGCGATCAGACTCGACGGTTTGCGCGATGGACGTTGGCATCGACCCCGGGGGGGGTCAGGTAACATAATCATGTTTTCAATTGGTCAGAGCGTGAATTACCTACCCCGCTTTCGCTTCCAGGCAAAGCCAAGTCATACCACGCGCCTCCTCGTCAAGCGGCCTGACCAGTACAGGCCAGAGTTTGGCATCGCTTGGTATCTCTTGGAAGCGAGGGTGGTCAAAAGCGAGGTAGGTTTGTTTCCCCCCTAATTGGGGGGGGTCCAGGGAGGCAGGGCTCGGGGTCGCTCCGTTGTTCCAGGCCTGACCCCCAAAGCGCTCCAGGAGACCCCCCGAAAGAGGCCCCCAAGAGAGCAGCCGGGAGGCCCTCGAGGGCGCCCGAGGAGGCCCCTCGGATTACCGAGCAGAGCCCCAGGACAGTCCAAGAGAACACCACGACACCCCAGGAGTCTCCACAGACCCTCGAGACGCGCCCGGACAGTCCAAGAGGGTCACAGAAGCCTTCAAAGAGGTTCCACAAATGCTCCCACGGAGGGCCCCAAAAAGACTTGACGGCTCACAAGATTCATCGTATGTTTTTGGCGCGGGGAGGTCGGTCCGTTCCTCCTCGTTCATCCTTTCTGATCGTCTTCGTGCTCCTCTTCCTACTCTTTGTCCTCCTGTTCCGCTCGCTGCCCTCCCCGTCATTCGCGCTGTCATCCTCGTCATCCACCGCCTTGTCGTCGCCATCATCCTTTCCTTCTTTCCCCCCAGGAGCCCAAACGGTCAACATCGGCACTACCCGTTCTTGTCCGATCACTTACTACGATCGACATTCGGTGTCCATCGTGCTTTGCGTCGTCGCGGCGGTCTCTAAGAACGACTCCCGAGGGAGACCGAGATCTGCAGCGCCTGGTGGTCTGATCCCGTGTCGATATCCGGCACTTCCCAACAAGCCATTTTCGAGTTTCGCATCCTGGTTGGGACGACGGTGAAGTCCATTTGCTTGTTCACCCAACCGTCAGTTCGAGTCCAGCAGAGATCGCGGCTCACGTTGTCACACTTGTTCAGGAGCACGCGGCCGTGCAGCATGCACCAATGGAGGAGCTATTCGCCGCGAGAGGTGCGCCGCCCTACTAGGGTAAGGGCCGCGGACCATCTCACCGGACAGAGATCGTCACCGACGGGGGTTTGCCGGCGCTGCCAGGGCCGAGACCTCCCCGCGCGGAAGTCTCCGGCACTGAATGAGCGGAGCGCTGCCCTCCGAGAGCATGCCAGTCGATGAACACGCTGCTTCCACAGTCGCGTCTGGCTTGCGAGCGTGCGGCATGTATACGCCCACGACGTCTACGACCAAGCTGCGGCCTACCACAGTCACTGCTGCAACTCTGTTCGACACGGCATTGATGAAGCTCCTACCTAGATTCCCCTTTTTTTGTGAAGCCGAATTCCCATTCCATTTTAACCTCTCGTGCCACCATTCTCAAGCCAAGTGTGCCCGACTTCTGTTGTGAAGGCCTTTTGCCGCTCTTCTTTCCATGCCACCACAGATAATTGCGTCCCACTTGCGCTCACCAACTTTCTTGCTTCAAAACGTGTTTCACAATATATGCAATAATGCGTGTCGTAAACGATGATATCGAAATTCATGTTGTGGTCAACACTGTTATCACAATTATCGAAGACGCCTACGGCGAATCACCGCCGCCCCCTGCCTTTTTGGAAGCGCCTATGTGGCCGAACGTTGAGGCCAGACCTGCCAAGCTATCGGACCACGTGTTCCCCGAATCGGTTTGGAAAGCCTTCGGGGAACACGTGGGCATCTTGAAGGTCATCTTGGCCGTCTTGGAGGCCTCTTGGGCAAGCTTTGGGCGATCTTTGGGGCTTTTTGGGCCGTCTCGGGCCAGCTTCGAGCCAACTTCGGCCATCTTGGTGGGTTCCTGGCACGTCTGAAGCCGTCGGAAGCCGTTTTCTTTCTTTCGCCGCCAAATGCTCCAGGGCCGTCTTGGAGGCCTCTATGGGCCGACTTGGGGGCTGCTGTCTTGGAGGCCATCTTGGGGTCTGGAGGCCATCTTGGGCGTGTTGGAGGCCTCTTGGGCCCTCTTGGGGCCCTCTAGGGGCCATCTTGGAGGCCACTTGGGCCATCATGGGGCTCTCTTGGGGGCCTCTTGGGCGATCTTGGGGGCTTCTTGGGCCGTCTTGAGCCGTCGGAGAGCCGAAAAGGCGCAAATGCCAAAATCCTTCAAAAACCAAGGGAAAATCAATGATTTTGGCATCTTCGGACTCTCCTGGAGGACCTCTTGGAGGCCTCTTGGGCCGTCTGGGAGGCCTCTGGGGGGCCTCTTGGGCCGTCTTGGGCCGTCTTGGACTCTCTTGGGCCGTTTTGGAGGCCGTCTTGGACCATCTCGGGCGGACTTGGAGGCCATCTTGGGCCATCTTCGCGATTTTTTGAGGATGTCCCGAGCGAAACGGCCGTTTTTGGGCATTGACAGACGGATTTTCTGAAATTTGCGGGTGGCCGGCGGGACGGGCCGAAGCCCACTGGGGAGTTCTTTTAGAAAAAGAACCAAAACCAAAACCTGCTCGTCCAGCACGCCGTGCACCCCTGCAAGCAGGGGGCGGCGGATCGAAGACGCCTACGGCGAATCACCGCCGCCCCCTGCCTTTTTGGAAGCGCCTATGTGGCCGAACGTTGAGGCCAGACCTGCCAAGCTATCGGACCACGTGTTCCCCGAATCGGTTTGGAAAGCCTTCGGGGAACACGTGGGCATCTTGAAGGTCATCTTGGCCGTCTTGGAGGCCTCTTGGGCAAGCTTTGGGCGATCTTTGGGGCTTTTTGGGCCGTCTCGGGCCAGCTTCGAGCCAACTTCGGCCATCTTGGTGGGTTCCTGGCACGTCTGAAGCCGTCGGAAGCCGTTTGGGGGGCCTCTATGGGCCGACTTGGGGCCCGCTTGGAATGCTCCAGGGCCGTCTTGGAGGCCATCTTGGGCGTCTGGGAGGCCATCTTGGGCGTGTTGGAGGCCTCTTGGGCCCTCTTGGGGCCCTCTAGGGGCCATCTTGGAGGCCACTTGGGCCATCATGGGGCTCTCTTGGGGGCCTCTTGGGCGATCTTGGGGGCTTCTTGGGCCGTCTTGAGCCGTCGGAGAGCCGAAAAGGCGCAAATGCCAAAATCCTTCAAAAACCAACGGAAAATCAATGATTTTGGCCTCTTCGGACTCTCCTGGAGGACCTCTTGGAGGCCTCTTGGGCCGTCTGGGAGGCCTCTGGGGGGCCTCTT